TCCCTTTAAGAAAGCTGAAAAAGGGTGGGGATTTCTGCTGGTACAAGCAGAAAGCTACAAGACCATCACAACTCAGCTTACAAACAGTGGGTTTATCAAAGCAATTAATTGTTTTCCTTTGGTGGCCCGTGAACCACTGGGCTCTGTACACCCCAAGTGCCAGGAGGCAGGTTTATTTCTAAAAGTCATCAGCAAAGTCTCTACCACCTCCTCCAGAACCACTGCTGGTGCCATTTTTGACATGGCAAATATAAATCAGCACGGCGATACTAAAAAATTTGGTTCTAAATGAGTCTTCATTTACCAATTTTAATTAGTGTATAACCTGGGCTAATAATATCTGAGTTATAACCATAGGGAAGGTGCATCCAACAGTAATGAAAGTTATCACAAAAGAAATTTCAGTAGGTTAGATTAAAACATATGCTTATCATACTCATTTTGTCTAGTACCCCTTTAAAAATGGGAAATGATATTTATTCAGACATTTAATTATTAATTCCTGACTTTACTGAAATACCATAGTAAGGATTTTACTCCATAAGGATGCATAGCTGTACTCCTGACCATGCTCTGGAGTCAAATTCTACAGCTACAATAATTCCAGTGGATCAGTATTTCCTTCATTTTTTTATTACAGCATGTTTGCTAAATTTACAGCAAGCAGAAAATAAGCTGGGTCTTTACTTATTTTGATCAAAACATTGATGTTTTAAAGGTAGTACACAATATTTGTTAAAAAGAACATATAAAAATACCTTTTTAGAAGCCTCTATAAGAAAGGAAATACAAAGTTTAATCCCACAACTTTCCTCTGCTAGAGCTGCAAGCTACTGCTACAGTTTTAAATAGACTTTTTGCTGTTTTGAAACTATACATCCAGGAAAGTCTACAAAATTAAAGGAACGTGCATATAAATGATTGCATAGCAGAACATGAACATTAACTGCAAACAGTAAAGGAAAAAGTTAGAAATACTATCAAATGTACAAAGATTCTAGAACCAACCCCCTAAGCACGTTCCACTGCCAGTATTTAAAAGCCATCTGCATTTCCTCAAAGGCCCTGCTGAAAACACTAAAACCCAAACCTAAAACATTTCTCAAAAAAGGAACTTTTTGAAATCAAATTTCTTTATATGCTACAACAAAAGACAGTGAGGAACACCAGGTGTTTGATGCTGGCTTTTGAAGTAAGTAATAATAATAATAATAATAAAAAAACAATGCCAAAAGCCATTTTTATAACAAAGTATCTTGCCTTCTAGAGAAATACTGGTAAGATTACACACTGGTTTTGTTATTTTTCACATTCAATTTACTAAATATACTGATTAAACTAAATAGCTAGAGATGCAGCTCTTGTTCATATCCAACTTCAAACATTTGTTCTTAAAGACAACGAAACCTTGTAACCAAACCACTATCCATTCTGAGGAAGAAGTGATTCAGACTTGCTTGACCAAATAGTTTTTGAGGTGTAAAAGCAAGCCTTTGTTACTCAAGAAGAGAGATGGCTAGTTTTAGACCTATGAATACACCAACTAACCACAGGAGTCATTGGCATAAAAGTTTAGTTCTTATATACTGTACACACACAACTCGAAACAATCTACTTGTATCTAACAGCAGGAAAACTAAGCATTTTTATGGTTAACTGCTCACTAAAATTTAGGATACAAAAAAACTGCATAAAATGTACACACAACCTAGTATTTAGTTGCTCTGCCATTTGCTGAAATCTGGATTTAATTTTCCATTTCAAGGTGTGTTTTTTTCCTCACACATTTAGTACTAGCAGCCAGGCCAGATGCAGTGAAGGCTCTATCCTGACATGTCATGACACTGCATGGGCTCTGCACAAGCTTCCAAGCCCAACTCTCTCCCCATGTAGTACATGCAATGTTAGTACCATCTCTCTGGATGGCAGGGTTAAAGAGAAATCTCCAAAGTATCTCTCCATGGAGCTCCATTTGCCAACCTACTTGTGTCAGTGGGCAAGGAGAGCACAGAAACCTGCCTTTCAACCATTAAACAGCCAATTGCCAGTCTGCATTTCACAGCAGTCAGTGTTGCACTACAGCTGTCCAGTTTTCTGTTTGATCACCAAGTTTCCCATGAAAGAACAAGTTAAACAGTTGGTTTAACTGTTCAACACAAAACTGGTACCAATTTCTCTACGGGTATGACATTTTTCATAGGACAATGTTGCAAGTTACGACCAATCAATTCATCACCAATATCTACGCATTAAAAATGCCAATCTTTACAAAAATATACATAGAGACACCACAACCAGATCAGTAGCTGCCCATGACATTTAACCAAGTGGACATTCTCTCTCTCTCTCTCTCACTCTCTCTGTGGCTTCTCAACACTGTTTTAATTTTAACCATTGTTGGCTACAGGGAAAACTGACAAAAGAAAAGATATTTTAGCACTGTTGCAACATCATATTCCTGATAATTTAAGTAAACTGAACTGTGTGTAAATGAATCTTACATGCCTAAAAACAACATGGATACTTGGTTAGTGGCCACTGGACTTGGGACTAGTCCATGACCTTGATCTGGATTTTGACCTAGATCTAGAATGTGATCTTGACTGTGATTTGGATCTAGCTGGTTCTTTTTTTCTCGACTCCTTCTCATATCTTGAGCTGGACTTATAGTGTGTTTTAGAATCTGTTTTAGAGGTGCCTCTAGATTTGGTGTGAGATGCAGACCTAGACCGTGATTTAGCCTTCATTTCTTTCTTGGGCTGTGACTTGGATCGTGATCTTGAATTGGACTTAGATCTTGAAAAAGATCGATTGCGGTGTTTGAACCTATCAGAATAAAGGGGAGAGAGGAGATTTGAATGTAAAAAACACTATTCTTAGACATCTAGTACATTAAAAATTGTTTACCGTTTTTTTGCAGGAGAAACTTTTTTTAAACCTATAGTTAAGGGAATACAGTGATCTAAGTTTTTAATTTAAAGGGTGTAAAAAGTACTTTACCTATCATTGTCCGAATGGCTTCTGCTACGACGAGGTCTTCCAGTAGGTCTACTGCTAAAAAGGTACATCAGAAAAAGTAAACGGTGACAAATACCCATGTAGGTACACAAATGCCTACTAAGTTATTTTTCAAGCTGTGCATTTGCTTTTAATTCTTCTTCAAAGAAGGACAGAATGATTTCATGCATTACTTCTGATTTGACAAGCATGCAAGATACGTGTCTCCCACAAGTCATAAAATAAGCATAGAAAAAAGATAATTCAAAATTTTAAACACTTTTCAATATGGTTTCTCCTCCGACAGACTGCTTTGCAGTTGAAGCCGAACACCCACTACACTTACTTTCTGGGACTATAGGATCTTCTGTAGCTGTAATCAAAGGAACGACTCCTAGACCGTCTCCTTTCGTAACTCCGACTCCTGGAGCGCCTGTACCGGTCATAGTCATCGTAACGAGAAGAGCTGTACAGGTTTCTCCCTTCCTTGGCCTTCATTTGATTTGGTGCTGTAAAAAAAAAAACCAACACACAATATTTAACATTTGAAGCTTAAAAAGATGCTCTGCTTTCCCTTTAAGTGACACTACTAATCCATGTATTTGGTATTTAGCAGGAAGCCTAAATTCATGATTCCAGCATAGATGTTTATGAAAAGCAGCCTTATGGGCATTATAAATCTAGGGTGAAAAAAACCTCTAAACACACAAAAGCCCCCAAACCCACAACAAACCAACCAACAAAAAACATTAGGAAAGGACTAATTCTGCATAAAACCAGAACACAAAACTGGCTAAGGTGATTTCAGGCCACCTGAAAGCTGGTATGAAAGACCAAACCCATGACTGAAACATTCTAACATTGATGAATTTACCCAAAAAGTGAAAGCTAACAGGGGATTAATTAAACATCCGCTTCCTTGACTAGACAGCACCACACATTACACCTGATCCACAGTCTTTAATGATTAAAAGACAGCTCATACAGAGGCAGCAATGGATGCCACACAAAGAAGTTTGATTCTAAAAGCACCCCCATGCAACAGTGCACAATGACTCTGTAGTTTACTTATTAAAATAATTAAGAATAAATGAACTTACTAGCCTTCTATTGTATTTTCCCTAAACAGCACAGCTATCTTTCCTTTCTATTAAGGCCCATTCTCATTCAAGCCCTAAGACCATGCTCAAATTTTAAACACGCTGTAATGAGCACTACTAAACAGCTACAATGTTTATGGCTTTAACTGCTGCTGTTCACAACACTGGGGTAGATTTAGGTAAGTTTTGTTCAGAAACTCAGAAGAAATCTCAGTGTTTCCAAGGAGGACAGAAACTTGTCCTCCAGAGCATATAATTTATAGTGACTTCAGTGAAAATTAAATGTGTGCATTTGAGGGAAACCTGGAGAGTTCTGTTAATAACTTGAACTGGAAGATCTAAAATGCAGTTTCATTCTCAAGCTGCACACGAGTTACAGTCCTGGTTTAGATCACCAGGTATGTGTTATGTTTATCAACAGCTTGTCTTATTTTAACATAATATCTGTATCTGTATATTAAGATTATGCACACAAAAAAGAGATGAAAAAGGTTAAAGTTCTCTTGACAATTGTTGATGTTGAATTGAGATACCTTGAAATTTACTCTTATCCTGAAGCCAGATGAAAAATAAGTCATTACCTCAATCCTGGGCATTGGACTGCACTGGGAAATGTCAACAGGGAATCGCTAATACACTTCAGCTTGATACAAACATTGCTATACAGCAGAACTGGGAGGATTTTCAACAGCCAAGCTTTCTTTGCAGAAACACACAGAAAGCTCCTTCAGAATTTTTCAGCCAGCAGCAGATTGTGGGAAGTGATCATTGTGCTTAGTTGTTCGCTTTTAATTACAAGTCATGAATAGTTCCTGGCTAAAAAGCAAAACATCCACAAACTATTTATATACAAGTAAGAACATATCAGAGCAATGAAGAACACATGTGCTGCCTGGCACTGAGGCCTGACCAAACACACACAAGGAACTTACTC